TACAGGTACCCCTCGCTAAACGACAAAAATAGGGACTGAAAAACTGGTCATTAAGCATTGGTCGTTAAGCAAGTCACCACATGTTTGGACCCAATTTTACAATCATTTCACAACCGTCATTAAGCGAATCACTGCAGTTAAGAGAACCACATAGTCATTAAGTGAATCCAGCTTCCCCAATGAACTTTCTTGCTGAATTTGCTTAACAACCATGTGATTCACTTAACAACCGCAGTGATTCACTTAATGACTGTTATAAAAAAGGTAGCAAATCACAATCACGGGACCAGTAGGGGTTAGTATGATGGTTTGTGATGGTCATAAGTGTGAGTACAGGTTGTAAAGTACTTTTTCCAAGGCTGTCGTAACTTTCAACCATCATTAATCGAAGGTTGTTAAGCAAGGACTACCTGTACAAGTGTGTGTGTGTGTGTGTGTGTGTGTATGTATACGTTTAGAAGTTTCCAATGTTTTTCTCACAAGGGCTTCTTTACTTAGCAGGAAACCATTTTTTTCCAATACAAGGAAATATTGATTTAATGCAGGTGGTGGTAGTGGTGGGTCCATTACTCTCAAGCGTCCACTTAGTTACCAATTATGCGAATGGCAGCAATCATATCACTACACCAATGACACAATTTACATGAATTGCTTAATAACAGCATTACCCAAATGATGCAAATCACTATGAATGACCTAACATTAATGCAAATTTAGCTGCTTCATCTGAACTACTTCAGTTACATCAGATTTGTCCATTATTTTGGAGGGATGACCAGACAGAAATTTGGTCTGTTGCATCCAAAATCTGCCAAATGGAAGTCCATGAAATTGAGTTTCCATTATATATCAGAAGCCATAGATTTTTTAATATAAAAGAGAGAAGTGAAAAAAGCAGAAGGAAAAAAAATCATTCATCCCATTTTTCTATAATTCCATACCAACAAATATCATCCTACCTACAAAGCTTTGTTTTTTACTCTCCCACAGTGGAGCTGCTCGAACACCATTTGCCACTAAAGCAAAGAAAGCTTTCTTTACCTGAAAAAGAAAAACACAGCAAGAAATTAATTTAAAGGGAGCTATTTGGAAGTATACAGTATATCTATTTGAAACAGACACACATGAACCAGACAATTGCAATAGCTACATGGCAGGGATATATTTTTTTTAAATCAGCAAAACTATAAGTTAAAACTGAAGAAACAAAGCAGAAATTAAACACATTAGAATGCATGTATGAAAAGAGATGGAGTCGTTTAATTTTTGCCTTCCTTTCTCATCTGCAAGATTCAAAGACATAGTAACTGTTTATTTATTTTATAATAAATCTGCAATGCAATTCAACATTTTTCAGAAAAAAATAGAAAACATTCACTTGCAGCTACTTTTGCTGTAAGTCAGTACTAAGAAATTCATTTCTTATCACGACAGCAACATATTATGAATAGCAGCATTGAAGAAGGATTCACATGGAAAATAATAGCACATGTTTTTCATATTTATTTCAAAATTATCAGATTTTTGTCCTAAGAACTAGGGTCCTTACAAATTAGGGCTAAAATGTTCAATACCCACACTATTAAAATGAATTTAATGGACTTTCCAAATAACATTGTTTGTTTGTAATCTTGGTTTTCTCACCATTCTTCGGTCAGATTTAAAATGAAATGGATATTACCCAGTTTGAACCTAAGGTAATCCTTGATTTATGACAGTAATTGAGACTGGAATTTCTGTTGCTAAGTGATGCGGTTGCAAAGTGTGATGTCACATGACCACATTGCTTAGCGACAGCAATCCCAGCAGTCCCTGTTACCATCATTAACCAAATTCCACTGGTCGTTACCATCATTAACCAAATTCCACCCCAATCCAAGCCATTCCGGGCTTGGTCCCTTCCAGCCCCAAGCCTCGGTAAGGTAAGGGACTGCCTCCTCTTTAACTCCCCCCACCTGCCTATCTTCCCCTCCCATTTCTGTCCTTTTGGCCGCTCTGCACCCTGCCTTGCAGGGCAGCGACCATGCAGATCTGGGGCTGCTTGCCACACTGCAACTCAGGGGCTTCTCAGTGCATCATGGCTCTGGGGCTGCAAGAAGCCCAAGCCACAGCACGAAGCCACAGCCACCCCAGCAGTGGCACAAAGCCACAGCACCGCAGGAAGCCAAAACTGCCCCAGCCCAGTCCCAGCTGCAGTCGCCCTTGCCACTCTGCACTCCGAGGCCCCTGCCACCCTGTGCTTCACCACCCCAGCTGACCTTTGCTGTATTCTTGCTCCCGTTGCTGATGAGGCGTGCCTGCCCTGGTCCTTCGCATGGCAGCTGCTGGCCACGTGAGACCATCTTCCCCAGGTCTCGCGAGGAAGCCGCTGTGTGCGTCCTGGGGAAGAAAGCCTCATCAGGCCTCACGAAGGGCCAGGCCAGGCACGCTTGGTCAGCAGAGGGAGCAAGAAGATGGCAAAGGTCAGGTAGGGTGGTAGGGGCCACGGAGTGCAGTGCAGCCAAAAGGGCACAGATGGGGGGGAGATACACGAGTGAGGGGAGTTGAAGCACCCCTGTGGTCATAAGTGCAGGTGGGCTGCCAAGTGCCCGAATTTTGATCACATGACCACAGGGGCACTGCAAAGGTTGTAACTTCAGGGACTGGTTTTATGTCCCTTGGTTCAATGCTTCAACTTCAAATGGTTGCTGAACAAATGGTTGTAAGTTGAGGATTACCTGTACATTGAAATTAAAGAGATCAGGCATTCTAAAACAAAAATGGGAATTGCTGTCATTTTAAAATCATTTTTACCCTGAAGTAAGCCTAACTGCTTACTTAATAAAATAATATCCATAATAAAATATTTTAAGGTCTCATCCATAGGACTGTTTACTGCAGCAGAAAGGTTACATTTGTTGAGCCCCACAACTCTGTATCTGAGACAGGCTGAAGACCACCTGCCCAACTTGTTTGGTATGACAGTACTGTAGCATATTCCTTGGGAAAACAAGCGAAGAACTCATTTTCTGGACAACCCATAGCCCATGGAGAAGGAGGCTTGAGATGACATGGTAAGGAAAGGTGACCTGCTTGGCCTAGCTGAGCTGCTGGGGGCCACCCCCTTTCCATCTGGTTCCTGGGTTCAGTGTTTGTTCTCCAGTGCTATTCTGGCTGCAAGGGAGACTAGAATCCTTGCTTCCCCAGCCCTTTCCTCCCCATCTTTTTAAAATTGGTTGGTTGACCAGTAGACCAAGAAAGTGCAAAGTGCAAGAAAGTGTAGGACTACCTTGTCCCCAACTTCACACACAAAACGAAGGTATAATTGGAAGGACTTTGCTCTTGTACTACAGCAAAGGAATCCTATACCCAGTAGCTGCTATCAGGGAAATTCTGGTTCCTTATTTCCTCTCCTCACAGAATTCTCTTTTAAACAATTCACTCCATTATAGATTTTTTTTTGGCTCCCACTCTTTTGAATCATCACGGCTGTATGTATGCTGTGATTTGACACACAAATCAATAAACCAATTTCTCAAACTCCAGTTCTTCAATACTTATCCAGAAGCTACATCTTGACTGTACACCACTAGATGGCATCCAAGAGAGACAAAAACCTAGTTCTCTGCTGCTGCCTAGCAGCTGACAGGCCAATACTCCTAAGTACTGCTTATGCTCACACACACACACACCAAATACCATGCAAAAATATTAGCAAGAACTCTGTTTCAAAATGTTGGGGAAATGTCAGATTCAGCAGAGAGCCCCACAGCAAGATAGACAGCAGGCCTATTTATAACAGTTAAACTGCAGCATACAGTACAAGCTTAAGCTGTTAGACAAGTCTTTCAAAAATTGGACAGGGATCAATTATACAACGTACAAAACATATTCCAATTATCTGAGGATCAGTGAGATTTGCTGACCGGCCATAATGACAATAAAAGGCATGTCCTTGAAAAACCTTAATTCTAAGCACTTGTGCCCTTCGCATCAGAGACAATGTACTGCATGTCTCCTACCCTAAACTATCCAAGCTTCAATAGTTTCAGTATAGTTTCTCTAATATGCACTACTATACAGGACAGGTAGTCCTTGACTTATGATGGCAATTGGGACCGGAATTTCCATCACTAAGCGAGCCGGTCTTAAAACGCAACCACATCACTTAGTGATGGCAACCCCAGCAGTCCCGGTTGCTGTCGTTAGCCGAATCCTACGGTTGTTAGGCGAAGCAACTTCCTGCTAGCTTCCCACAACCAAGTCAGTGGGGAAGCCAGTAGGAGTTACAAGTCCCACGCAGCTTGCAAGCAGGCCGGAAGGAAGGTAAGTGGCTGCTGCTGGGTGAGGGAGGGTGTGAGGAGTTACAGTTAGGGAGGCACGGCAAGGCTCGGGGAGCATGCAAAATGCGTTCATCTAGGAATGTTCTGTTTCCCTCTGTACGATGTTGAACCTCCTACTAGACCATGCTGTTCTGGGAACAATTTGATGGTTTTTGAACTGGAAGTGGTTTAAGAAATTTTGCACTTTCCAAAGATTTACGCTGCTTTATAATCTAGCCCACAGTGGACTTGTGCTTGCAACCAAGGCAGCAGATATAGGTACCAGCATATTCAAATATGAAGTAACAAGGTCATCTGTGTTAAGGTTTATAATCATTTTCTCTTTCTGATTATTACAGACACAAGACAAGTAACTGTAAAGAAAGAAATCTCCCAAAGGGGAACTCACCTGTAGTGTAGTGTCAAAAACCACAAGCTTTGAGCTTGTTGGAACAATATCATAACACTTATGTGACCTCATGAATCGCATGTAGATATCACTTTCTGATTCACCAACAGCTGTAAGAAAATATTTAAAATTTTTGTAAAAAATACTCAATCCATCTTGTTAGTATTTTAAATGAAAGTGTAGAGAGTATTTTTCAAAATTTTTGGAGCTTTTTCTACATACTTTTTACAAAATACCTACTACTCTTTTCTAACCATATCCCAAATGCTTTGAACTATAATTCCCATAAGCCCATGGTCAGCATGGCCAGCTTTCATGAATTATAAAATTCATATAGTTTAAGGTATCTAGTTTACTACATCAGATTGCTAACCTGTCGTCCATAAAACACATCTGATTGAGACGTAACAGAGTGGACCCATGCAAACAAATATAAAAGAAGAAATCTGCTCTTTATGTTTCCTTCTTAACAAAATATAATCTTGTCTACCTTATTTACTTAACTCGGGAACAATTTACAATTTTATTGATTCCTTACAGTTAGTGAAGTGGTCTATTCTAAACTGAATTAATGCATATATATCTAGTCCCATTCTGATTAGAATATAAAAATTCTAATCAGAATGGGAAGAATATTACATTTTGACTTTGAGCAATTATTTATCCTTATTTAATATAACACATTTGACTTATGCTGTGACATGTCCAGGGCTGTGTTAAAGGATGCAAGCATTACAGCATTTTAAGGGTTATCCCCACAATGGGACTACAGAATTAAATGTTTAATCAACCTTCAACTTTAGCAGTAGCCTGTTAAACACAATGAACAAGAGACTGGGAAAGTACCCCTGAAACCCCATCAAGGTGAACAAAATGGCTAACAAAGGAAGAAAAGAGCATTCTGTATTAGCAGAGAAGGAACATTACTTCCTCTACAGTAAGCTGCAAGATAGAATTCCCCATCACTCCTTTGTCACTCCTCAGCAGTATTTCTGGATTAATTTATATGTTATGTGATGGAAGTAGAGTGCTAACAAGAAAAATACCCTATCAGAACACTACTAGAAGAAGAATGAATCTTTGGTGATCAGCCCAGCGCAAGATTTCAATTCCAGCGGTCAGCTAGAAAACCTGACTCAAAAGTTTATTCTGCATGTAAGCTTGGAGACAGGGCTGCGTTCGAATGATAACTGAATAATACTTTGTCTGCAAAATATCCTAGAATCAGACCTGGCATTTCCAGGCAAGGACTAGGAGGAATTCTTATCTGAAATCTTGGAAAGCAGCCAACAGTCAGAAGTATAGATAATACTGAGCTAGGTGGACCAACTCAATGTAAGGCAGCTTCTAGGCCTCATTTCCCTTCCAAGGAGCTACAACAATGGGTTCAGAGTAGGAACTCTTAGCGATTGAAGATCATCTTCCAACAGCCGGGGCTGGAACCCTCTCTGATCTGAAACTACAGGAATTCTTCTTTTGTGTTCCTTTCCAATTCTGTCCCAGCTCACAATCAATGCCTATCCATTTACATGTCCATCAAACAACTAACCAAATAATTCAAGACATTACAATGGTCGGTCAATAGTTAAGTTGCCTTTTGGGTCAGCTACCCACATAACAACCTGAATGCTGCAGATCAGTATGGCACTGCCATTCACCAATTTCAGCTAGAGCTCTTCTCCATCAGGCAATTTATAAAGATGGTATTAAAAACCAATAGAGAGGTTTTCTTCATCTTTATTTGTAGCTATGGTCAGAGGCCAACAAATTAAAAGTTCAGAATACCAAAATTACAGTTTTGTACTAAGTACTAAAACGAGGGCAAAAATATCTTGGGCAATTCAATGTGCACTGAAGAGTAATGCAATAGCAAAAAAACAAAAACAAAAAAACCCCTAGTGAATCTTTTAGTAATACTATCATCTTGAGTCTAAAAGAAAAGGTTACATGCTGTTCTTCCATGATCCCTGATCATTTGCCTTGCAGCAAAGGTATGTGAGTCCTCCAGATTTCTGCTTACAGGGGGCAGTAAATGACCATGACGGAATATCTTCAGATGCAAAAGAGCAACAGAGAATTTTTTTGGAACCTTCCCTGTAAAAGAGACAATGGGGAAGACACTGTATCAAGCCAAGCTAAAAGTTTTTCTAGAGATCTTGGTTAGCAATCACCTTTACCAAGAAGAAAAACTCTAGTCAGGTGCCGGGTTTAGGTCTCCTTGCCACTCAGTCCATCACACTTTGTTTAAAAACCACTTCACCTCTGCCCATTGCTAGAGAAAGTAAAACTGGGCTGAAAACATGGCAAAGGAAATGCTGCTCTAAATGTTTTTTACTGTAGAGAACAAAATTAATTTTGCATAATTTAAGGCATGTATCAGTTGCATAATAATCTTGGCCTCAAAGAGGTTTACATTTACTTATTTTGGAGCCTGCCACTGATGTGGAGAAGAACAGGCAGCCATCTTTCTCTAAATCCACTCAAACTTTCCAGATAACAGATTTGGTACTGAAGCAGCTTTTCCTTATAACCAAAGTATGTCCAGTTTAATCCCTTACAATTGTAATAGGATGACATTCTACTAACATGTAAGAAATGGGAAGGAAGGAATTGATTCCCCCTGAAATCCTGGCCATTCTGATGGGGAAACACCCAAAAATTGTAACGCAAGATCTAGAACAGGCTTAAATCAATTTAGGAAAATGAAAGGAGGGGGGAAAAAAACCCAAGAACCACCACCTGTCAAATAAGGGGTGGGGGGGAGAATAAGCCTACCCACTTTGCCCAGTCATCTTGCAAGGTATTACCCTTACTCCCTGGTGGTTCTGCTGCCACCAAATGTTTCCCCAGCTCCTGCTATGCAGTAACATCTTAGATATAGTTGTTGCTGTATTTTAAAACGTGCAAAAGTATAACTCATGACAGACTGGGAAGCATACAGCCTCCAAAGATCAGACAAATTAAGAGATTTTCAGAAAGGGGACAATTTCCGTTTGCCTTTATTTAAAAATGTCAATAAATCACCATGTGGGTATTTGTAAACAAGGAAAACAAATCTCCTTCAGAAAGCTCATACAACAATGCCAACATGATGGAAGTGGTGACTTGTCTACTTCTTGTTACAATAGGAGCTTATCACGTGTTCAAGGCAGATTCCACATAGCTACCACAGTAGCAACAACTAACTATTAAGGGATAGATAAGACAATTCACAATAGGACTTCCTTGAAGTCTCTTCCCTACCCATTTTATTTAAATTCCAAATGCCTCTAGGCCAGGTCTAGGTGCAGCCTGGAAGAGGACAAATCCATCTGATGTGTGTGGATAAAATTAAAACTGTAAATTCCCATCAAATATTATGCTTTTGCTTCCCCCTCCCCGCCCAAAATCCCTATCCCATTAATGAAAGCAAAATTCAGTGAAGAAGAGACATGGAGCATAAGCAAATACATAATTTTCTGCCTTACAAACAGTGAGCCTTTACTGCATTAATTTGACTATAATAGTCGATTATTTGCCAAATAGATTTATTTGCACTAAATTTGTAAAAGGTAATGTTTCTGAGATATTTTAGATTCATTTTATATAACAGTATAAAGTATGACTGATTGCTTTGTGATTTTCTACTTAAAGAAATGCTGAATAAAATACAAAAAGGTATATATTAAAATATATAAATGTTGATGGGCTGGGTAAATCCTCCATTTTCTTTCCTTAACCATAGCATGTCATATTTGGTATAGTAAACAGCTAAGTGGAATCACAGCACACAACACTACTTTTTCTTTTGTAATGCTCAGGACTATGATGTCTGATTCTTAAAACAAACTTCAACATTATGGTAGACAAACTCTTTCAAACTTAAGATACTTTGCTTTCAAAGTATTACAACATAAATACACAATTATTAAAAATAATAAAAACAGTATGAAAATCATCAAAGCAAAAGGGAAGGAGCAGGAGAATGGAAGCAGAAACAATAACCATTCAACGTGTGCAAAGAAGGCCTGAGCAAAGTCAGATCTTCAGCTGGCACCTGAAACAGGCTACAATAGACAGTTCACAACTTTCAGGGAAGAATTTTCTAGAAATTCCAGGTATGAGCCATCACAGATCAAGTCCACCTGCGAGTGGCACTCTGCAATTCTAGGCAAATGCAGCAGCAGCAACGTCCACCCCCCCCCCCCGGATTTCAGCTCTGCAATGGCAAAGACTATCCATTAGATGTCCTGGTTGTAAAGTGTTTATGGCCTTATGCACCACATGCCCAATCTTTAACCCTGCTTAGTAGTTAATTGGCAGCGAGGGCGGTTGCTTCAATAAACACGCAGCATGTACCATGCCAGGTGCCCCATTCAGCAACTCAGCCAACACATTCTGCAGTATTGAAGCCTCTTGACCTAAGGGGTAAGCCTGTTTAGCTTCTGCTTTCGAGTAATCCAAACATAAGGTTACCAGCTTGTGAACAATAATGGGTAGGCTGGCCCCATTCAGGAAGCGTAGCTCTGGAGTCTCAAACACATTTTGTGAGGCAGAGCCCTGCTGTGAGGCACTGTCAAGGTTTGGGCTGGGGCCCAAACTTACCACTTACCACCAGCTTACCACTGGCACTTCCTTTTTCCTGTCATTTGGGCAGGGAAGGATGGCTTTCCACCCTCCTCCTCCTCCCTGGGAACTGCACTCTTTTTCCAAACAAGTTTGCTGCTATTTCTTTCCACCTCTGGCCTCTTTTTCCATCACTCTGTGCAGTCTTTGCAGCCATGTTCTGCTGTTGGGGTCCAAGGCTGAGAAGATTCTTTGCAGAGCTCTGTTTCCTAGGCTATTCCTCACCTATTGCTCAGGAACTGCACCCAGATGGGGGGACACCAGCATAACAAGAGCTTACTATATTGCTTTTCTGGCACTGAATCCGCCCCCCCCCATGCATCCCAAAGGACTGGTCCTGGTTTCTGCCCTAGGCTGGCCCCCTGATTTCACTGGTGGTTATTTTCATGGTCAATTTAGAAGCAGGCAGCACCTTAATTTGAAGCAAATCTTTAATCCAATGGGATTCTTTGCCAAGTTTGTGCATTAAGAACTGTGTTACTTTTTTCTGTACTTTTATGACACTACTCTGAATTTTCATTCTGAGGGGGTTTTTTCCCCAAAATTTTCAGGGCTCTCATGTTTTTCAGGCATTTTGCAAGTATAAGGTAAAGATCCAACTCAACTGAATTTGATTCCTGATAAGCATATAGATGTTCTGTGTAGTTTTGCTTAATGAAAATATGGAAGTGGTTTGCTATTGCCTTCTGGGATATTTTTCCATTTCCTAGTTAAGCCTATAATTTGGTCTCTCATATGAATATAAAATGATTCAGTGATTGAAAGTATCAGATGTTTTAAGTACCAAACCAGATTTAACATTAGGCAAACTGGGCAATAATGTATAGTGAGATTATGTTTTCCTTTTGCTGAGTCATGAATACGTAGAATAGAAAGCAGTTAAATTATGTCAGTGTTCTTAAAAACATCAAATACTGCCTCTAAGAAACAATCCATAGTTTAAACTGCCCAGGATGTTTCAGTAAAGATTCCTGAATTCCTGCAAACTACATGGAGAAATTAACATGGATTTCCCTACAACATTAGAGAAATGGTACGCTGCTGTTTTCTTCTAGGATTCTGTTTTATTTCATAGTTTAGCCGACAACTCTGGTATCTCCTGGTGGTCTCCCATTGAAATACCAATCAGATTCAATCCTTTTAAGTTTTTTTGGCTGTTGTTTTGCTCAGCTACATCCTGCGACAAGCTTAGCTCAAATCTAAAGGAAAGCATATAACCTAAATGGGAAATAATTATTGAAGACTAAATACAGTAGCACTTACAAGTTTTATCTACAAAAATAACAGAATAAGCCTTACAGTTTCAATACGGTGGTGGAAAAGTCTCATTTTTAAAAAACACTTCCCAATAGCAAAATGCTCATACCAATATTTGTGAGGGCCTTTTCAAAAAATGTGCGAAAACATTCAAAAATGATAAGAAGTTTAAAGTTGTACAGAAGGATATAAAATTGTCTATCAAGTATAGAAGTACTTTTAAATTGCTGCAGCAACAATGGGGTGTAATTTGATACTACAGAACAATTTTGGGCAATACTTAGAATCCTAAACCATTTCCATTTTATTTGCTGTTTTATTCATCTGGGTGTTTCCAAGAAGCAGATAGGGCAGGGAAGAAGGGACAGAGGGGGAGGAGAAAGCTTATTTAAGTAAAATATTTTTAGCTGTCAAAAAGGTTCCATTCATTATTTACTTTAACAAAATACATTATGACACTGATATAATCTTAATAGAGGCCTCACATTTAGAAAGTAGGTACAAATGAGGTACAAAACCTACCATTACTCCTCTGGACCTTGCCAACTCAGCCACTGAGGAGGTGGTGCACCAATTGTCTGGAAGTTAATCTTCCAAACTGAAGCAAAATTGCAATGATTAAACTTTACAACTAAACACAGATTTGATCCAAAGGTCAACCCAAAGTCTTGGTGCCAAGTAAATTGAATGTATCAGATCAGGAATAAAGTCAGTTTTGATAAAGTTTCCTGACTTTATCAAAGGAAAAGCAGCGTTCTGGATGGGACAGGGAAAGGCTATTCTTTCCTCCCAATTGCAAATCAGCTGTCAGCCTCACTGGAGAAGAAAATGGTGCCCATATAATACCCAACACACACCCAAAGGTTTCACCGAGTATGGTTAAAAAAGTCAAGATGTTAGTCATGACAGTGCAATTGAAACTCCATGTTTTTATAAAGAACAGGTGGTGGTTCAATCACACCGTTGCAACTATCATCCATGACAACCAGTTTGGTGTAGTGGTTAAGGTGCTGGCCTAGCAAAGGGAACATGGTACACAACAAATAAGTTACTTTCAGCTTTTCAGTTCCAATCTAATTTGAACCCGTCATCCTGCAGCAGCTTTCTGAAATGTCAGATCTTATCAGATTTCGCACTTCTTTTCTAACCTGACAGTGTAATGTATAATAATGGTAGGCTCTTAACCATTACTTAAAATTGCTACATGATGGTTTTGGGAAAAAGAAATATAC